AGCACGCGGTGTGGTAGCCTTTTTTGAGGTTTTTGAAGACTTTGGTGATTTTGAAGACTTTGGGAAACCGTGCTTCGCAAGACGAAAAATTCGCAAGATGAAAAAACTCGCAGAACGAATTAATTTCGTCTTGTGAGGCACCACTGTACATCTTTACTGAGGTCCACATGTTGGTCAATATTAATATTTCCATCTTACAGATGAGGAACTGAAGCCAAAAGATACCTAACACTATACAGTGAGTTCATTCTGTGCTGGTTCTGCCTCACAGACTTTGCTCTTACTCGCTACTACACTAGTCCAGTGATGAAGTGATGATATAATCACTGTTTTTTTTCAGTTCTTATCCAAAATTGAGTATGCCAAATGAATACACACTTACTTCTGAATAAATATGCATTCTTATTCTTCATTTATATCACATATAAAATTAATAACCTAAACTAAGCAGTAGTTATCGCTAAATAGACCACAGGTAAGACAGAAAGTGGGACGCAGGTGGCGCTGTGGTGTAAACCACTAAGCCTTGGGCTTGCTGATTGGAAGGTTGGCGGTTCAAATCCCCATGACGGGGTGAGCTCCTGTTGTTCAGTCCTAGCTCCTGCCAACTTAGCAGTTTGAAAGCACGTCAAAGTGCAAGTAGATAAATAGGTACTGCTCTGGCGGGAAGGTAAATGGTGTTTCCGTGCACTGCTCTGGTTTCACCAGAAGCGGCTCAGTCATGCTGGCCACATGACCTGGAAAAACTGTCTGTAGACAAATGTCAGCTCCTTCGGACAGTAAAGCAAGATGACCGCCGCAACCCCAGAGTTGTTCGTGACTGGACTTAACTGTCAGGGGTCCTTTACTTTTTTTTAAGACAGAAAGTAGGAGAAGATAATCACAGCCTAGTGTAGATGCAGTCACCTTTAGATAAAACTAATTCACTCTGAAATACAGTGGTACCTCGGGTTACATACGCTTCAGGTTACATACGCTTCAGGTTACAGACTCCGCTAACCCAGAAATAGTACCTTGGGTTAACAACTTTGCTTCAGGATAAGAACAGAAATCGTGCTCCAGCGGCGCGGCGGCAGTGGGAGGCCCCATTAGCTAAAGTGGTGCTTCAGGTTAAGAACAGTTTCAGGCTAAGAACGGATCTCTAGAACGAATTAAGTACTTAACCCGAGGTACCACTGTAAATCCCAGATGCAGCACTTGCAAAGTGTGACTTTGAAGGAATAATTTTACTTTAGAATTGAACTAAAGGCATCAGGAATATTTGAATTGTTGTTTTATAGGGTACGTTTTTTGCTTGGAGGCCGCCATGGGGAATTTAAATTCCTTCCACCTCCAGGATATGCTCCTTGTTTTGAAGCTATTCTGCCGAAAGAGAAATTGAAAGTGGAACACAGCAGAGAATACAAACAGGATCGGAATTCCACAAGAGACCTTTTGGGCCCAAATATATCTCTATCCCAAGCAGCTTTCACTCCAGTACCTGTAGATACCAGTCAGGTAAATAGAATCTACATTAACTTTTCAGCTATGGGATAAGTATGCTACATAATATTATGTTAAAATCAATAAACTTGCAAATACCTTTTGCTTTCATTTTTTGCCTCATATTTTATTGTTTGGGAGTCTACATATCAAGTACAGTGACACTAAATATTAGTTAATTTGTAAAGGCATTTGTTTTCACAACTTGTTCTATCTAACCAGTCATTTAAAGATAAAAAAACTCCTCAAAACATCAGAAACAAAAGCAATCATCATAGCAACAGTAAAAATACAAAAAGCAGTAGATAGTAGTAGTAGTAGATCTGTTTTATTTTTGTTTTATGGTTCTCTTTCGTAGGCTATCTTGAAAATCTAGATTAATAAAAAAAAATCTTTAAAAAGGAACAAAAATTCCTGTAAATTGACAAACTCAAAGTACATTTGTTATTATGATCAGGTTGCTTTCATTATGTTATTTCCAGTTCAATCATTTACTACTATGCAATTAGTGAAACATATGTAAACTTTGGACAAGTAGTTTATTTCATTCTGGTAAATTATCTTTTTCTCACCTCCACTGCACTCTGTCATTTTATTCTAACAGATTTGCTCTTTTATCTTTAGATTGTATTACCTCCACATCTGGAAAGAATTAGGGAAAAACTAGCTGAGAATATCCACGAACTTTGGGTTATGAATAAAATTGAACTTGGATGGCAGTATGGTCCTGTACGTGCTTTTCAAATTTTGTTTTCTGTTGTTTTTCTTATTGCTTTAAAATATCATGCAGAATAACGTGGAGTAATTATATTGTACATGTTCAATGTATATATGCATATAATTTAGAATAATTTTCTAATAGTTACACTTTCAGAGAACATAGATTTTGCATTAAATTTTCATTGCTGTTGTAATTGTTTTATTATTTGTTTATATACCCCTTACTTGCCAAAATGGCTTATAAGTGGTTATCCAAGTAAAAGGGTTTTATATTATTCAGAAGCATCTCTAACATATTGTCAGGGATGGGTCATACACAGCACTTGGAGGGTAGCCAGTGGTTGTGCCAAGGAGTCTGTAGTTGAGAGCCAAGCCATGAGTCAGCTGAAGAATGCACTGAATTACACAAGTGCTAGGAAGACCTTCTTGCTCTGGCAATGTCTCAACCTCAAGAGGAGACTTTTGGTAGTGTTCTCTGCCTGGCAGAGCCAAATAGATGGATGGATGGATGGATGGATGGATGGGGCCAGTTCAGATCCTGAGAATATCGCTTCCCTGTGAGGAGATGCTCCAAACCACAGTTCTGTGGTTCACCAATGGGGTAGCCTGCACACAAAGGCCATGGCTCCCAGCACCAGATGTGATGGCTCCTGACCTATATCTGCCATAGCAAATTTCACGTTACATGAAATATCTTACAACTCGGCCAACAGTTATAAATACATCATTCCTATATAGTACAGTACAGTGGTACCTCGGGTTACATATGCTTCAGGTTACAGACTCCGCTAACCCAGAAATAGTACCTTGGGTTAAGAACTTCGCTTCAGGATGAGAACAGAAATTGTGCTCCGGCGGCGCGGCAGCAGCAGGAGGCCCCATTAGCTAAAGTGGTGCTTTAGGGTAAGATCAGTTTCAGGTTAAGAACGGACCTCTGGGATGAATTAAGTACTTAACCTGAGATACCATGGTACTTAAAACTCACCATCATTGATTTCAATGGGAGAGATTTAAACAACTCTCACACTGAAATCAATAAGAGCTTAAAGTGCCTGACTCATTATCTAATATTTCTGACATGGTACAAACTCCTTTTCAGTAATATAGGTCTTTTGGACTTACAGTTCTAAGACAGATTTAAGCTCAGTGTTTCCTTTATTGCAGGTTAGAGATGACAACAAGCGACAGCATCCATGCTTGGTGGAGTTTGCAAAACTGCCAGAACAAGAGCGAAATTATAATCTCCAAATGTCACTAGAAACACTAAAGTAAGTTTGTAGCTTGCTTACTCTAATCATAAGTGTTTTTATGTTTCTTCAAAAAGATTTGGGGGTGTGAACTCTTAAATAGTCTATGAGGTTTGCCTTGTATAGGAATAAGAAAATGCCCATCTGTTTGGTGGGTGGTGATAAATCAATGTGATTACTCTTCTGGTAATCTTCTCAAACAGATTTTGGTGATTTCTACATTAATAACTTTGGATACTGCTCTGCTGCTTGCCTCTTTGGCAGGATCTGTAGATGTGCCAAATAAATGTTGCTACATTTAAACATGCTTTCTGAATTTCTTCCTTAAGATTAAGGGAAGTGGTACTGATTCAAATGGTCTGCCTCCCCCCACTTAATAGATCAAAATGGCTTCTAGAGAGTGGTAGGGGATGTCTAACCCCATGTTGATGGTCTCTCAGCTGATTCCCTGGTGGCCTACTGGAATGTGGAGCTATCCAGGTTCAGATTCCTGAAGAGGTAGACTCCACAGTGGTAGGAGGGCTGGGGCGGGAGAGTGCCAGAGCTCTGTTTAGTCAAGTTGTATAGGATCAGTTTCAACCTATTATCTCTGAGGATGTGGGCAGGCTGCTTGGACGAGTGAAACGATCTGCCTGTCTCCTTGCCCATACTAGCTCATAAAAGCAAGCCAGGCAGAGCTGGGCAATGGGCTCCGTGGAGTGTGTGTGAATGCTTCTCTCGGTGAGTAATGTATTGTATAAATACAATCCCAAAAAATATTTTTGAAGGGAGATACCAAAACCTGGCCCACAGGTTCTAGGAATTATTATTTTTGTCTTGCAAACATCTTTCTCCGCAAACCTAGCAGTTGTAGCTTTGCTTTTCAGCATGCCAATTTAAGTTCCTATAAGCTATTGATTTTCTCCTCCAGAACACTGCTGGCGCTAGGTTGTCATGTTGGGATTGCTGATGAGCATGCTGAGGAAAAAGTGAAGCAACTAAAACTTCCAAAGAAGTAAGTTTAAATTCAGAAAATAAAATGGAAGATGTGTAGGTGTGTGTAAAGTAGGAGCCTGCCTTCCTGTCCAGTCTCACTCGTGTGTTTATCATATCACTGTACTTCTTGAGTCAAATTGATAATCATGGGCTCTTGGGGGTTCTCTTCTAATGGTAAGCAAATGCACTCATTCAGTTGCAACAGTTCAGCTGTGTGGGTGGGAAGTCCACCTTCCCCATCACTTAGATAAGGCAATGGCAGCAAGTGAAAGAGAGGTCAAGAAGGTGAAACGGTGGTTATCACCACAGTTCTTGAGCTCCACCAGAATGAGATTGGGGAAGAACAGACAGAGGAGTGCGTGAACAAGCAACTGCATAGGCAACCTCTGCTAGCTTCCTTAGTATCTTCTGAACTGATCGCTTTGTAGCTTCTTCTGTTACTGGGCTCAAGGCTGGCAGTAGCAATACCATTTTATTGATGTCTCAGATTTATGACGCCAACCAAATTGTCCATGGTACTGCATGCAGCTTTCTCATCTCAACTGAGCCTGGTCAGCAGTGATGGCCAAACTTGGCCCTCCAGCTGTTTTGGGACTACAACTCCCATCAACCCCAGCTAACAGGACCGGTGGTCAGGGATGATGGGAATTGTAGTCCGAAAACAGCTGGAGGGCCAAGTTTGGCCACCACTGCTGTACAGCATTTGTTGTGCAGGATATGCCAAATACACCCCCCCCGACCCTACTGCTGTGCATTTACACTGAGAAAATCCATTTTGCCTTCTTGGGATATGCATGCTATTGCCTCAGTTTGAGGGAGAAATCACACCCCTCATCAGCAACTGACTGAGAAACAACTTGCCCCATTTGCTTGTCCTACTATTATTTCCCTTTCGTAGACCTGTCAGAATACTATGGCTGCTGTTGCTCCACATTGGTTACTGGCTTGCTCTGTTACAATGGGATGAAGATCTATACCTTCATGTGTTCCTGTATTTGATCACTACTTCCTGGTTCTTTGTTTAAGAAAGTATATAATTAATGCCTCACAATCTTAAAAATTTTAAGACAGTCTTAAGAAGTGTGCTAATGACAATGGTGGCTTTCAAAGAGATGAATAATACACTTTCCTCAATGTTTAAATATTATTTCAGAAAAAACTGTGAGGGGAAAAAATCAGACTCTTTTTTCATGCTGAAAATGCTTGCCTCCAAACATTCAGCAGAACCGTAAACAAAGAGTGCAGTCAACTTTTATTATATGGTTGAAATTTTAATATTTTTAATTGGTGATGAAACACTTTACTGTCGGACTAGTTACTATAATAATAGTAATAATACTAGCAGCTGTTCAAGTAGCCTACTATGACCGTATGAGTTGAATATAATTCTGGTTCAGAGAACAGCATTTTGCTGTAATAAACCTCATGTATGTCAGCTTGTTTTGCTGTGTTTTGCTGTTCTAAAATGTTGAGAGACATGCATATAAAAGTGATCTCACTGAAGTATTTTACTCTCATCTAACAGTTATCTGTTGTCTAGTGGATACAAGCCTGCTCCTATGGATCTGAGTTGTATCAAACTGACCCCTTCTCAGGAAGCTATGGTTGATAAACTTGCAGAGAATGCTCACAATGTATGGGCAAGGGATCGTATCAGGCAGGGTTGGACATATGGAATTCAGCAGGTAAGTCCCTGGTAGATGCTTGAAAATTCACTGATAACTGCAAATATTGTGGAACTCAAATGATATTTTGAGGGTGGGTGGTAAAGCAGATGAATATGACTACTGGAGTTCGGGCCAATTTCTGTTTTCACTATAGTTGCTTTGAGTTGCCCTGGGAAAGGAAAAATGACCAACATTTAAAAAAAAATAAAAGTAAATAAATACATATTTTGATCGTATGTTTAGTTTATATACTTCCAGTGCTAAATGTCCCAGAAGTAATGAACACTGTAGTTAGTCAAACTACTTTGGAATAACTACTTTGAGAATCAGGATTTGATTTGGGTAGGTGTGGTGGGTTCCTTGGAGACAAGTAAGGATAGTTTCTAGGTGCTTAGATAACTACTTAAAGAAGGCAAAACCTGTTTTAATATGCCATCTAGAACAAATTGATTCATTTGGAATTCTGTGTATAAGAAATGCTTTTATTTCAGACATGTTACCTGAAGATTTAAGTGGCAGTGATCAGGGGTATTAAAGTTTTGTTTATGTTTCCTTTAAGCCTGAAATACAGTCACTTGATTCATTTGACTTACAACTTTTAAATTTGAATGAGTTATTCATTCAACTACGCAGGTAGACCAGTATCTGTACCCATCATGTCTGAAGCTGGGGAGGGATATGATTTAAAGCTTCACAGGAGCATTAGAAAGGGGTGCTGAACCCTACCAACTCATTCCACTTCTCTGAATCCCACAGCCCATCCCCCGAAGTCTTTTTCCTACAGTAATATTCAGATTATGGATGCAAACCTGCTAAGGGAAAAGGCCCCCAAGTGATGCTTTAAATCATGCCACTTTCTGGTTTTAACTGAAAATTGAACATAGAAGATTGCTGCATTGAGGTCTGTTGTTAATATTAAGCAACTTGACAATAAACTACAGCACATAAATACAATTTAAAACCAGAGAAAAATTCTATTAGAAATTGACATTGTTCTTAAAAAAATATTGGCCTGAGGACCAGATGGCTTCACTTCCAAGTATTATAAACAATTCAAAGAAACATGGTTACCATATATGGTCCGCCTGTTTAATGACCTAATGAGAGGATCACCCATCCCCCAAACATGGTACAACTCCAAGATTGTAGCTATCTCAAAAATATTTAAAGACCACCAAAAAGTAGAATCTTTTCAGCCAACCTCTGATTAATCAGGATCGTAAAGCATTCACAGAACTCACAGACCTTCAAGACGACAATCCAGATTTACACAATTAAGAATTAATAAACCATTTATATCAAGTGGCAAGATGCAACGTAGCAAGACACTGGAAAGACCTTTCTGGCACAACACTAGATAACTGGTACAAAACAGTTTGGGAAACAGCTCTCCTTGAGAGGTTAACTAACAAACTATGATTGACTTGTGGACAGATAAAAAAAAAAGGCTTTACCGAAATGTGGTTTAATCTCATAGCATATGTCAGTTATTCAGAAAAGGAACAATTCCCCCTTCCCCATCAGCAATTGTCTGAATCTGGTTGATGTAAATTTATATTTAAACATACATTATTTTCACTTTCAACCCACGTTCATCAATATGCCAACACTTCATATTGCTTCATTGAGCAAAAATGACCATTACTCAATATTTAATCTAAGCAAAACCACAAGGGCTCCTGATTAGGTGTTTAGCTCTGCAATGCTGAATGTTATCTGTTAGTTCTGTTCTATCCTGTTTCCCCTCTGTTTTTGTTTAAACTAATTCACAAACCAAGAGCTTACACATTGACCACTAATAATGAAACTTACGTTACAGATATTATTGCAGATTTATTGTGTTATTTTTGTGATATACAGACGACATGAGAAGGCTTGGTCTATTTATTTGTATTATTTATTATAATATGATGCTTGTTTATAAAACCCAATAAAAAGCTATTAAAAAAAACCCTAGAGAAAATTTAAAACACTAACAATGCAAGATACATAAAATGCCCAGTTCCCAACTGATTAATACGGGGGAGAAGTGGTATTTATGGACCAGAAGAGTTTGGATTTGATATCCCGCTTTATCACTACCCAAAGGAGTCTCAAAGCAGCTAACATTCTCCTGTCCCTTCCTCCCCCACAACAAACACTCTGTGAGGTGAGTGGGGCTGAGAGATTTCAAAGAAGTGTGACTAGCCCAAGGTCACCCAGCAGCTGCATGTGGAGGAGCGGAAACGTGAACCCGGTTCACCAGATTAGGAGTCTACCGCTCTTAACCACTACACCACACCAGGGCAATAATATCTCAAAGACAACTCTCCATATGAACTCACTCCAAATCTCTGGATTGCTTTGATCAGCAGCTTCATGTAGATGTTAAACAGCATGGGGGATAAGATCAACCCTTTTGGATCAACCCAATTGAAGACAGTCGAGCAGTATACACCAAGTACCACTCTCTGGGGGTGGCCATCCAAGTAAGCCTGGAATCATCGCAACACAGTGCCACCCAGTCCAAATTCAGAAGAACACCTTGCTTCATGGCATTGAAAGCTGCTGAGAGATCAGGGAACAGGGACACACACACACACACACACACACACACACACACACACACATCCTTTCCCCCAATAGAGATATTTGTGCAAGGCAACCAAGGCAGTTTCTGTGCCAAAACCAGGCCTAAACACCAATCAAAATGGTTCTATTAAATCATTCTTGTCCAAGGTAGTCTGGAGCTGGATGGTGACCACTTGCTCAAGAACCTTTCCTTGGAAGGAGATATTTACAACTGGGTGATAGTTATTAAAATCTTCTGGGTCCCGGGATGATTTCTTAACCTTACAATTCCAATGAATTAGGACCTCAGTCTCCAAGGAATGGCATCAGGGTGAGGTGTGTGCATGTGCATTCTATTGGGGGGGGGAGGTAAAGTATAGTAAATTATTATTGAAGTAAATATAATTTTCCTTACAAACAAACCTCTATACAAATCTGTTGCAAATGTGATCATTGAGCTATGAATGAACCTTTCCCCTGTAAATTAAGCCCCTTCATTCCTCTCCCTCTGCACAAGTCACAGTTAAACCACAAAGCCTCTAATTAACCAAACCCATGAAACTACGGTTACAACTTTTGGAACAAGCTAGTATTTAAATCCAATTTTAAACTATAGTTTAATATCCTGACATGTTCCAAAGCTGTAACCATAGTTTCCTTGTTTAGACAAAACAGGACACTATTCTTAATTGAAGACTTGCTGGTTTGTTTGCTCGCAGCATGAAGAAAGGAACAAAGAGGCTACATACATAGGCAAAAGTATTGTTTATGTATTGAGTTTGGTAAATTGAGATTTAACATCCAAACATTGTCATTGTATCAAGCTACTATACTCAATATAGTAAAAAATAAGCATCTTCAGTCCTGCCAAAAAGTACAGTAGCATTTCACAGTTGGAAAACTGAGTTCTAATGAATACAGCCTTTGTAACTAAATTACCACTATGTTATAGAAAAGTAATTTTCAAAATGTAACAGGCTTTTTGCTGTAACATAATCATAGCTCATCATCATCATTATTTATTTCTAACTGGGATGTAGAAGTTTCTTTTGTTTTCGTTTGTTTTTTGCACTGACACAATCACCAGCTTTTTATTTGAGATCCATGTCTTGCGTTAAAATAGGAGTATGTTTTCCCTTTATGGTGTGATGACAACTGCAACAACACAAATTCACATGCATATACTCATTTTTAGGAACAATATATTTATAACAGTGAATTACATCCTTCCATCGTATTTAAGTTGAGGCTATGTATTTCTAGGTTATTGTTAATCAATTATCTGTATTAAACCTAAGTCACTAGAAATGTATGTGCCTTAGTCAGGTAATGAAAACTTCAAGCAGCATCAACTTCTGCATACCCACCTGACATTAATGCAGATTGATTTTTGAAAGTCCCCTTACCTTATTCAGTGGGCAATGTTGCAGCCAGGCCCCGCAGTCAAGGGGTTAC